AGGATGAAGCCTTTCTGCATGACCCCCAGCAGCACAGCTGGGCCCCGCCCTCCCACCTAGTGATTTCCAGGTCTTCAACCTGGGTTTCTGAGGAATCTGAGATATAATGGGCCCCCCTGATTTCCACCACCCAGGGGCACAACCAGTTCTTCATTCACCCAGTGCCCTGATACCAACCAAATCAGTGTAGCACCGTGGAGAACGCACGAAAGACCTGAAGCTAAAATAATCTCCAGAAACACCTGCCTCCGCTCACAACGAGGGCACCCAGACCTGACTTAAGCTATTGTCTCATCGCAGTGACTTCACTCGTGCAATGACATCACCTACAACTTCCTCCCACAGGGCCTTCAGGCAGGGCTGGAGTTGGGGGAGCCTGAGCCTGCACAACACTTCCCCAATTCAGGGGTCCAGTCAGCCGAGGGCTCAGGAGGTTCTTCTTTTCCCTCATTTCCACCGCCGTCCTCAGAAGGCAACGAGGTCAAAGGGAAGCAAGGAAACGTTCCCATCTGCTGTGTGGATAAGCTGGGAGCTCCCCACCCGATGTCAAGGTGCCCACTTCAACTCCTCTTCCAGCCAGCACTGCAGAAGTCGGCCTAGCCTGGCAAATCTGGCCGCACGCACACTTATTTATAGCAGGGAGAGGTCCTGCAGAGTTATGTGCTGGCAGGCACACTGACCAATGGCTTCTGTTACTATCTCTAAGTGACAGGACTTTTGTTCACAAGAGGCAAGGTGGCAACAGCTACCCAAGTACCCACTACTCCCCTGACTGAAAGGCTCCGCTCAGCTACGTTCTCGTCCTCCTCTGGGGACCCAGAACTCAGCTCAAGAGGACAAGTCCAGTGGCCAGGTTCAGCAGCCTGCTGGGCCAGCGATGTTCTCTCCCCTCATCAACACTGGACAGAGAGGACTCTGCCACAGAATGGCTTGCTTCACCCAGTATTGGTCTCTGCAGTTGTTCGCTGAGGCCGTGCACATCACGTGCAGTGAGATTGGGTTTCCTCCGGCCTCGCTCCTGCCCCGCCTGCAGCATACCTCTCCAGTGCTCCCGTGTGGAGTGGGCAGGGCACTGCACTGGGAGTCCCAAGTTAGGCTCACCTGCTGTTCCCGGTACCTTCAGAAAGCACTGAAGTGAAGTGTCAATCACTGGGTGTGTGTGTGTCAGGTATAAGGTTACCCTTGCCAGTCCCAAGCCCCGGCCCAGTGGAATTCCAGGTGGCGCTTTCCCAGACTAACCGGTCACCCTTTCCTTAGCCAAGAATTCCTCTACCCCAGTGGCATGCTGGCCTGGCTACTGCCTGCACACGTGGCTCTGGGTGCACCAATACAACCCCCTGCACAGAACTGTTCCCTAGCTTCCTATCTGTCTCTAAGACCTTTGATGGACACAAGCCCGATGACTCGGGACAGGGCAAGGGGGTAGGGGCTGCAGTTCTGCAATATGAAATCTTTTCAGGGAATTGGAATGAATGTCAATCCACCTTGTTGGAGGACTTGGGGGGCACACGCCCATACATACTGAGCAGCCCCATCAACCTGGGTCACACACAATGGAGTGCCAGTGACTACGCTCATCCCTTCACTGTCTTCCAACCCCACCTCTGCCCAAGGTCACCCAGTTAGAGCAAGTGACAAGGAACTGCAGCCATCTGCTGCCAGGTGCAGCTTTCTTAACCAGCATTAGGCTCCCCACTACTGGCTCCTAGGAGCTACACCCCCCTGCCCCAGGCCGGGAACTTGCCTATGATTCCCAGGGCTGCCTAAGATCCCAAATTTTGTGTGCACAGTTTCAACTCACCATCGGCAGGCTGCTGGAAGTTGACATAGGCATAGCCCAGGGAGCGGCGGGTGATCATATCGCGGCAGACCCGGATGGACAGCACAGGCCCGGCAGGACTGAACTTTTCATACAGCATGGCCTCGGTGACGTCCGAGTGCAGGTCACCCACATAGAGGGAGGCCATGGGGTAGCTGCTGGCCGCAGCGTTCATCTCCCCGCCCCCCACCACCCCGAGCCCCGCCAGGAGGACTTCTTTTAGGGATCACCACAGGACAAAAGAGGTTCCCTCCGAGGCGTGGGCCGCGCGGCGGCTCACAGGTGGCAAGAGGCTGAGAGGAGCTGGAGTTGGCTCAGATACTCAGGACAACTGGAGTTCAGGGACAGCTCAGACAAAAGGCGTTCCCAAAAAAATCCAGAAACAATATGGCCTTCCCTGGGAGTTTGTAGTCTGCAGCTGTCCTGGTCTGAACCTCTAAAAATTTAAAAACTATGAACTAAAATGGGGAATCCCCTTCTGAATTCTAAAAATTCTCCCAGAGGCAAGCAGATGCTGGCCACAGCGGCCTCCGGGACACGCGTTTCTCTATAAATATAGGCCTCGGGCTCCTGGCGGTTTAAAATTACAGCAGCCAGGGGGAAGGGGGAAGCCAAATATTTGTCGGTGCCGACGGCACA